CGCTGCAATCCCTTCTCCTTCATTCTCCTCTCGGGATCTTGGGCATGCACGCACACGCACCCGGTGTGAGTTTAAGCCACCGGGTCTGGGACTCGAACCGCAGTCGACTACATGGGAGTCCAGCAACATAGCCATTATGCTAACTGCTGGTCCCAAGAAATCTGTTTGCTTTTAAAAATGTAATTAAAGGGACCAGCAGATGGCATAATGGTTATGTCACTAGACTCCCACATAGTTGAATGTGGTTCGAGACCTGGACCGAGCGGCTTAAAACTCATGTCAGGCGGGTGTTACATGTGTGGCCAAGATCCTGAGAGGAGAATGGAGAAGGGATTATGGTGTGGCCATCCCCCTGGGGGATGATTTCTTGCTTTCTGTCTCTCTGTCTCTCCGGCAAGCATATGCACCCTATAGCAAAAATCTCTCTCTTTCTCTCAAAAAAAAAAAATGCAGTTAAATATATCCATCTTGGAACCAGCAGGTAATGTGGTGGTTAAGACACTGGATTCCTACATAGCCAACTGTGATTCAAGTACTGGACCTGGCAGCTTGCTTTCTCACTTTCTCTCTCTCTCTCTTTCTCTGGACAAATTTTTAAAAAATAATAAAAATAAACAAATAAAAAAATAATTTCAAAAAAATTCCATCTTTTCTTTTATGGTAGGTGCTTTTTGTGTCTTAAAATAATCTTACCCGGGACCAGCAGTTGGAGTAAGGGCTATGTCGCTGGACTCTCATGTAGTTGACCGCGGTACGAGTCCTGGACCTGGTGGCTTAAACTCATGCCGGGCGCGCGCGTGTGTGTGTGTGCCCAAAATTCCAAGAGGAGAATGGAGGAGAAGGGATTGTGGCATGGTCATCCCCCCTGGGAGGTGATTTCTCACCTTCTGTCTCTCTGTCTCTGTCTTTCTGGTGAGCGCATGTGCTCTATAGCAAAAACTTCTCCAAAATAAATAAATACAAATAATCTCACCCTATTTCAGAGTTTCATTAAAGGTTGTTGATTTTTACCTACATTGGTCATATATACATATTTTTAAAGTTTTTGCTAAAGGGCATGTGCAGTCATTGGAGAGATGGGGAGAGAGGGAAAATGAGAAATTCCTTCCCAGAGGGGTTGGCCATACTATAATTCCTTCTCCTCTCAGGATTTTGGGTATACACATACATACAACTGGTGTAATTTCAAGCTGTCAGGCCTAGGATTCAAACTATGTAAGATCCAGTGCCTTAACCTCCACATTATCTGCTGGCCCCAGTCCTAAAATTTTTAAAGTCATTACCTCTCAAATTTAGTTCTAAACTTACTGTGTGACTTGCTTTGGGACTATGTATAGTATAAGGTAGGAATAAAATATAATTTTCCAATTGTATGTATGTGTTTTGTTTTGTTTTTTGTTTTAATGAGAGAGAAAGAGGAGAGGGATATCTTTGATAGGGTCTCACCATGTCTCAATCTTCCTGCCCCCATCTCCCAGTTAGCTAGGACCACAGGAGCACACAACCACAAATGACTGACCAAGGCAGGGTTGGCAATAGAACCTGGGGCCCCCATGTGGTCTCCAGGCAGCCCACAACAGTGCGTCCTGCCTGCATCACCATGGCTGGGCCTATCTGTGATCCTTCAACCCAAGTATCCAAGCATGAATTATTGCCAAGTCCATCCTTCCTCTGCTGATCAGTAATGCCAACTCTTTTGTGAAGTATTTGATTTCAACATATGCAGATTTGGTTCTGGGCTTGATTCTGTCCCACTGGTCTACTTGCCTCTTTGCCCAAAGCACACTATATTAACTATCATTATTTTATATTAAGTTTGACTCTTGTAGGAAAAATTACCCTGCCTACTACTTCTTTAGGAGTATTATACCTGGCATTTTGGTCTTCACAAGCATGCCCTCAGGTTCCACATTAAAAATGTATTATATGGGGACCAGCAGATGGTGTAGTGGCTATATTGCTGGACTCCTGCATGGCCCACCACGGTTCAAGTTCCAGACCTTGTGGCTTGAGATTCAAGCCAGACAAGTGTGCATACATGCCCAAGAGCCCAAGAGGAGAACAGAGGAGAAGGGACTGTGGTGTGGCCATCCCCCTAATGGGTGATTTCTCATTTTCCTTCTCACTGTCTCTGTCTCTCTCTCTCAAGTGTGTGTACAAACCCTAAGGCAAAAACCTCTACAAAAAAAAATGCAGCCACCAGATGGTATGGTGGTTAAGCTGCTGGACTCCCATGTGGCTGACCATAGTTCAAGTCCCAGACCTGGTAGCTTGCTTTCTTACCTTCCCTGTGTCTCTCTCTGGTGAGCACATGTGTCTTATAGCAAACTTTAAAAATAATAATAGTAAATAAAATAAATATATATTTAAATGTTATTTGGGGCTAGCAGCTGGCGTCGTAGTTAAGGTACTAGACTTCCACATGACTGGCCACAATTCAAATCTGTCTCCAGCAACTGCATGTGCCCTATAGCAAAACTAACTAAAACAAGTATAAAATTTTCTTCCTCAAAGATTCTCAACCTCTAGTTCACAAGATGTAGAAAATATTTTTTACTAGGACCAGCAGTTAGTGAAATAGCTGTGTCATTGGACTCCCATGTAGTTGGCCGTGGTTTGAGTCTTGGACACAGTGGCTTAAACTCATGCCGGGCATGTGTGCATGCCTGATCCTGAGAGGAGAACAGAGGAGAAAGGACTGCAGCGTTGGCCATCCCCCGGGGCGGGATTTCTCCCTTTCTGTCTCTCTCCCTCTTTCTGGTGAGCGCAGGCACCCTATAGTAAAAAAAAAAAAAAAAGGAAATATTTTTTACTCAGTATTAAATCCCAGGCAGATCACTTGCAGAACAGTAAACATTCAATGTTTTCATTCTGCTAATTCTCAAACAATTAAAAGGGAAAAAAGCAATTTAAGCGATGCAAGCTTATTTAAATAGCATTTATAATAGGACTAGTGGCAAATAGCATTTTTAAACCCATAAAGAATGTGAAGTTGTTGCTACAATGAGGGATTACATCTCCTATTACAGCTGTAACATTTTCATGGCATTCATTTTTAGGCAACTATTTAGCATTAAATCTCCACTAAAGCATTCTGTCAAGTTTAATTAGTCAGAGACCAACAATTTTCCTGTAGCCACTGGGATGGGAACTAGCACTTGTGGTAGGCTAACTGGACCCACTGATGAAACATCAAAAGGCCCAGTAAGAGTGTATGGAACTGCAGTGTTGAAAGCTACATGGCCAACCACGGTTTAGATCCTGAAAACATGCTGAGTGTTCATGCCTAAGATATTGACAAGCTGGAGGAGACAGAAAAAGGGGATCACAGCACAATGAGACCCAGCTGATGGTGCCTATCTCACTTTCTTTCTCTCATGAAAAAAAATAAATAAGTTTACAGAAAGAAAAAAGAGCACCAGCAGGTGGTATGGAGGTTAAAGTAGCTGATCCCATATAGCCAACTAAGCAGTCTGAATACCGGACTAGTGATTTGAAAAACACAGTAGGCATGCATACCCAGAAATCCCAAGAGAAAAATGGAGGGGAAAGGATTGTAGGGTCTACATCCCCCTCCCAGGGGTGGTATGATTTCTCGCTTTCCCACTCTCTCTCTCTTTAAAAAAAAAAAAAGGAAAGAAACAACATTCATTTATTTTATTTTATTTGTAATTATTTTTTTAATTTGACCAGAGAGAGAAAGAGAAAGGGAAAGTGAAAGCAAGCCTCCAGGTCTGGGACTTGAACCATAGTTGCCCACATGGGAGTCTAGCACCTTTACTACCACATCACCTGCTGGCCCCCCTCTATCTTTCTCTGTCTCTCTCCAGAGAGCACATGTGCCCTACAGCATACTTAAAAATAAAAAGGCCCATGAGTTCTTGGTCATTATTTTACTGAAGTGATTTCAACTCATCGGGAACCAAAACAGAGGCTCCCCTTCATGGAGTTGATATTCCTGTGGGCAAAGACAGACAATAACAAGTATAAGTTGAAAATGGGATGGCTTCATGGCACAGTGGTAATGTGCTGTCCAGGGGAGGCCAGATCCTACATGGCAAGTGCAGCTCGAATCCCTTGGTGGTCTGCCTGAGACACATGGGGTACACACACGAGTGAGTGGCCAGGACCTGATAGGCTGGAAGACTAGATAGAGATCGCAGCAGGACCAGACCCAGTGGAGGGTGCTCTTTTTCTTTTTCTCTCACTTTTGTGTGCATACGCAGGTACTCTACCATGAATAAAGATGGGAACCAGCAGTTAGCGTAATGGCTATGTCGCTGGACTCCCACGTAGTCGACCGCGGTTCGTGTCCCGGACCCGGTGGCTTAAAACTCACACCGGGCATGTATGCGTGCGTGCCCAAGATCCCGAGAGGAGAATGGAGGAGAAGGGATTGCGGCGTGACCATACCCCCTGGGGGGTGATTTCTCGCTTTCTGTCTCTATGTCTCTCTCTGTCTGTCTGGTGAGCACACGCGCCCTACAGTGAAAATCTCTCAAAAAAAAAAATTATTTTAAATGTTGAGAATGAAGAAAAATAGCTATTTCTATCATGGGAGAATAAAGCAGGGGTAACATTCTGCCCACTATGAGAGTGTGCAGCATGTATGACTTTCAAAGAAGTTTTAAAAAACTATTAGTCTCATAATGTTTAAACCAAACTGGCTATGCTCAGATTATTATTATTATACTCTGTAGTCAAGAGTCAGAAGAAAGATGTTCTAAGATACTGAAATTCACCCTGGTTCTTCCTCCTCCTGAATGAAAACAGGTGGTGCCATGACTATAATATTCTATCATTCATTTACAACCCCATTTAATACTCACTGTGATATGATTGTAGATAAGCTGAGACCACCCAAAGAGATCTGCTAGTCTATAAAATGCTGCCAATTTACACCGCAATAACTTCTCTCCTTTGTCATATGCAATTGAATCAGACCCTCTGAGGTCATTCACAGGAGTCACCATACCAAGACCTGAAATAAAATACAAATATTAACATCTCTTATGGTTCTGAGATATTTATCCTCCACACCAGGACAAAAAATACATTTGAAAACCACAAAGACCAACTTATATAACATTAATACAATTAAATTAGAAATCAGTTCATAATAAGGTAGCCAAATCTGTGGGATGTAGAAAAGCATACTCAAGAGGAAGTTTACAGCACTGAGCATACATATTAGAAAAGAAGAAAATGTTTTAAGATTTTTTTCATACTGCCAAAGTGCGTGTGTGCTTGCTGGAAAGACAGAGGCAGGGGTAGGGAAAAGCATCCCTGAGTAGAGCATGGTAATGCCACAATCCTTTCTCCCCTATTTCTCCAACTCCTGTTAGGATTTTAGGCATGCATGTACATGTACCTGGCATGTTTCTCAAGCTGCCAGAGTCTGAGACGCAAACTGCAGTTAATCACATGGTATCCAGCTTCCCTTACCCATTAGACTAGGGGCCAATCTTTAAGATGTATTTAATTAAAGTAAAAGCTGGATCTTTGAAAATATTTATATAATAAATAAAATTAAAATAATAAAATACATAATAATAAAATAAACCACAAGCCAGACTTATTTACAAAAGAGAGGAGACAGAAATAACCAATATGGGAGCTGGTAGTTGGCATAGTGGTTAAGGTGCTGGACTCCTACATGGTCGACCACAGTTCAAGTCTCAGACCTGGTGGCTTACTCTCTCACTTTCTTTTTTTATCCCCTCTCTGTCTTCTCTTCATCAAATTAAAAATAATAACAAATAAAGTTAAATAAATAAATATTTTTAAAATATATAACCAATATGGGGGCCTGCAAGTGGCATGGTAGTTAAGGCAGCTGGATTTGCACATGGCTAACTGTGGTTCAAGTCCCAGACCTGGCAGCTTGTGTTCCCACTTTCCTTCTCTCTGTCTCTCTCTGGCCAACTTCAAAAAAATAAAATAATGACAATTAATAAATAAGTCTAAAAAAAAAGCTAATATGAAGAATATGCAAGAAGATATCACTACATACCATACAGACATTAAAAAGACAATGATATGAACAAGTATGCCAGCAAATCCTTTTTCTTTTCTTTTTTTTAATTTGCTACAGGGTGTGTTCACTGAGAGAGAGAAAAACGAGAAAGCACTCTATGGAGGGATGGCCACACTGGAATCACTTCTCCTCCATTCTCTTAGGATTTTGGGCACACACGCATGCCTATTGTGTTTTTATTTATTTTATTTATTTTTTTGGGGGGGAGAGATTTTTGCTATAGGGCATGTGCACTTGTCAGAAAGACAGAGAGAGACAGATAGAGAGAGAGAGTGAGAAATCACCCCTTAGCGGGGGGATGGCCACGTCACAATCCCTCCTCCTCCATACTCCTCTTGGGATCTTGGGCATGCACACACACACCCGATGTGAGTTTAAGCCCCTGGGTCCAGAACTTGAACTGCAGCTGGCTACGTGGGAGTTCAGCGACATAGCCATTACGGTAACTGCTGGTTCCCCTATCATGTTTGTTTTTCAAGCTTCCGAGTTCAGTACCTGAACCATGCAGTTGGCCATATTAGATCCACTTGCCTTGACCACTGGGCCATGGGGCTGGCTCAGATCTTTAATTAAAAAAAAAAAAATTGCCACAGGATGCAAGCATTAACCAGAGATGGAGATACAGAGAGAGAAAGGAAGGGAGAAGGCACCCCACACGTGGAATGGTCATGCCATAATACCTTCTCTTCCATCTTTCCATCATGCTGAGATTTTTGGGTGTGCACACATACACAAACACACACATGCTAAGGTCCAGGCATCAAACCACAGGGTGAGCCAAATGGCATCTGGTGGCCTTAACCAACAGACCACAGAGCTAGCTTGATCCTTAATTTATTTTTAAATTATTTAACTTTATTTATTATTATTAATTTTTAATATTTCCAGAGATAGGCAGATAGAACACACATACACAGAGTACAAGTGAGAAAGCAAGCCTCCAGGTCTGGGACTCACACCATAGTCAGCTATGTGGGAGTCCAACATCCTTAATCACCACACCATCTACTGGCCCTATCTGATCCTTAATTTTTTTTATTGTTTTTTTAGAAGGTTTTCAGAAGACGATAGCAGTGACACCATAATTTTTTAATTTTCCTAAATGCATCTCCTAAGTTCAAACCAAAAAAAAAAAAAAAAATTTAATTAAAAAAAAACTCAAATAGTGGGGGCCAGCAGGTGGCGTGGTGGTTAAGGCACTGGACACACTCCCACATGGCCAACCATTGTTTTGAGTCCCAGACCTGGTGGCTTTGCTTTCTCACTTTCCTTCTCTCTGTGTGCCTCTTTCTCTGGTCAAATGAAAATAAATGAATGAATAAATAAATTAAATAAATAATTCTAAAAAAAAAAAAGAACTCAAATAGTATGGCAAAACAAAAACCTTAGATGAAATGTATAACGAACTAAAAAAAATGAGGTGAACTCGCAAAATGGAAAATATAAGTAGGTAGGGATGACAAAGATAGAGTGCATAATATCATCATCTGTGTAAGAAGACACAAACAGGGACTAGCAGTTGGTGTAATGGCTATGTCGCTAGATTCCCATGCAGTTGGCCACGGTTTGAGTCCTGGACCCGGTGGCTTAAACTCACACCAGGTGCGTGTGCATGTGCCCAAGATCCCAAGAGGAGAATGGAGAAAGGATTAGGGCGTGGTCATCCCCCATGGGGGATGATTTCTCACTTTCTGTCTCTATCTTTCTAATGAGCACACATGCCCCATGTTAGTAATTTTTTTAAAAAAAGAAAGAAAAGGAAAGAGACCAGCCTATGGCATGGTGGTTAAGGCGGATAGATCCAGCATGGCCAACCATGCAGTTCTGCTTTTAGACCCAGCGACTTGAGAAACATGACAGGCATGTGTACATGTGTGCCCCAAAATCTCAAAGAAGAAAAAATGAAGGAGAAGGAATTGCAGCATGATCATTCTCCATGGTGGGGAGGGGGAGGTTGCTTTCTCACTTTCCTCCTGTTTTCTGCCTGTCTTCAGGGAGTGCACATGCTCTCTGGCAAAATAAAAAAATAAAAGAGAGAGGAACGAATTTTTTAAAAAGGAAGAAAAGGTCCATATAAAAACAAAGGAACAGGGAACCAGCAGTTAGCGTAATGGCTATATCGCTGGACTCCCACGTAGTCGACCACGGTTCGCGTCCCGGACCCAGTGGCTTAGAACTCACACCGGGAGCGTATGTGTGCCTGCCTGAGATCCTGAGAGGAGAATGGAGGAGAAGGGATTGCGGTGTGACCATCCCCGCTGGGGGGTGATTTCTCGCTTTCTGTCTCTCTGTCTCTCTCTGTCTGTCTGGCGAGCGCACGTGCCCTATAGCGAAAAAAACTCTCACAAAAAAAAAAAAAAAAAAAAAAAAAAAACAAAGGAACAGAACCAGAGTTCAGTAAGTAAGCTATCATGTTGTTTAACACTTCAAAAAATCAACAGGAGTTTCCAGAGTCAAGTCATTAGAAGTTTTCCTGGGACCAGCAATTAGTGTAATGGCTGTGTCACTGAACTTCCATGTAGCCGACCGCGGTTCGAGTCCTGGACCCGGTGGCTTAAACTCACGCCGGGTGCGTGTGTGTGCGTGCACAAGATCCCGAGAGTAAAATGGAGGAGAAGGGATTATGGAGTGGCCAGGCCCCCCAGGGGGGGGATTTCTCGCTTTCTATCTCTCTGAGCCCTATAGCAAAAATATCACTGTTAAAAAAAAAAAGAAAAAAAGGAAGTTTTCCTGAGCCAGCCTCCTTCTGAAAAACTAATGTCATATAAAAACAAATTTAAAAATATCATGATCAAATACTATATAAAAATTATAGTAGGGCCAGTCAGTGGCACAGTGGTTAACACGGCTGGATCTTACATGGCCAAATGTGCAGTTTAAATCCTAGACCCAGTAGCTTGAAAGACCCACCTGGCACATGCGTGTGCATGCCAGAAATCCTGAAAAGGGAATGCAATATGGCCATCCTTGCAGTGGGGGTGAAGGGCTTTCTCACTTTCTCCCTCTCTCTTTCAGGCAAGCACACACACACTAGAGCAAATTTAAAAAATATATATCAGGTTGTTGGTAAAGTCATGAAATATTTTTCTATGTTTTTCTATGCAAAAATGTGTCATGACTTTCTTGATGACTCAATATATAGTTAAAAAAAGAAAAAAGAATAGTGTGCAGAGTAATATCCACAGATACTGAAAGCACAAAAGACAGACACATTCACAAAACAGGTGAAAACTAAAACCTATTATTTCATAGCAAATTAAATGCATTAAGAAAAATAATAAATTATGGAAAAATATAACATGGAATTACAAAAAAATCATAAATGAGGTGCTAAAACATAAAAGGAATTAGGAAAGATAATTTTAAAATAAATACTGGGCCAGTGGGTGGCTTTGTGGTTAAGGCAGCTGGATCCCACATGGCTGACTTCACGGTTAAAGTCCCAGACTTGGAGGCTTAAGGAACATGCCTGGTACATGTGCATGAATGTCCAAGATCCCAAGAAAAGAACTGAGAAGAAGGAACTGTGATGTGACCATCCCCTCTGGGGGTTGATTTCTTACCCTTCTACCACCACCACCTGTCTCTCTCCAGCAAGCATAAGTGCCCTATGGCAAAATTAAAAATTAAATAAATACTAAACCAGAGGTTACATAGCATAAAAACATATAGAGGGGCTAGCAGGTGGCATGGTGGCTGGGGGGTTGGACTCTCACATGGCTGACCACAGTTTGAGTCTGGACCTGGCAGCTTGTTTTCTCTTTCTCTCTGTCTGAGTACACATATCCTATAGCAAACTAAAATAAGAAGAATGATAATAAATAAAGTTAAATAATAAAAAAAAATTAAATGCATAGATACTATTAGGTTATTTGGAAAGTCATCATGCATTTTTCTGTGTTTTTCTATGCAAAAACACATCATGACTTTCCCTGATGACCCAATACTTTAAGAGAAAAGCTGAAATAGAAGAAAATTATTTTAGATCATAAGGAAATGAAGGAGATAAGGGTTTGAGAAAAGTGACAGGCGAAGAAAATTGAAAACACATGTAACAGAAATCTCTGAAGAAGAAAACAAAAGAAACAGAACAATTTCTAAAAATCAATTCAAGAAAATATTGCTAAAATCAATTAAAATGTGGTAATAAGCACATTTTAAAATTAATCCAAAATTATCAAAACTAAGCCATAGTCTGGTAAAACTGCTAGACTCAAAAAACATATATATTTTTTTAAGCCTCCTAAAAATATCAAGCCATGGCCCACAGGTAGCATAGTGGTTAAGTCCCTGGATTTCCAGGGGACCAACCATGGTTCAAGTCCCAGACCTGGCAGCTTGAAACACTGGGAATGAGTGCATGCATGCCCTAAATCCCAAGAGGAGAATGGAGGAAAAGAAACTGTGGGTGTTCACCAGCCCCGGGGGAGTAATTTCTCACTTTCTCTGTTTCTCTTGTGAGTGCACGTGCCTTTTAGCAAAAAACTCCCCTCCCCCCAAAAAAAGGCCACTTATACATAAAGACTGTCTTCAAATTTTAATAGCAATGATTTGGGCCAGAGAAAAATAAATGAATTATGTATTAAAGATATATAAAAAAGAAAACTGTGAGGCCAGTGGGTGGTGTGGTGGTTAAGGTACTGGACTCCCACATGGCTAACTGTAGCTCCAGCTCTGGATCCAGTGGCTTGAAAATCATGCCTGGCATGGGTGTGTGTGTGCCCAAAATCTTGAGAGGAGAATGGAGGAGAAGGGACTGTGTCATGGCCATCCTCCTAGGTAGTGATTTCTCATTTTCCTTCTCTGTGTTGGTCTCTGTCTCTCTCTAGTGAGTGCACACACGCTATGGCAAAAAAAATCTAAAAAAGAAGAAAGAAAGAAAGAAAGAAAGAAAGAAAGAAAGAAAGAAAGAAAGAAAGAAAGGAAGGAAGGAAGGAAGGAAGGAAGGAAGGAAGGAAGGAAGGAAGGAAGAAAGAAAGAAAAAGAAAGAAAGAAAGAAAGAAGAGAAAGAAGGAAAAAGAGAGAGAGAGAGAGAGAGAGAAGGAAGAAAAGGAAGAAAGGAAAAGGAAAAGGAAGACCAACAGACAGACATGAGACGAAGATTTTATACCCAAGTAACCAAATTAACACGACATATGAAGGTCATAGCATATAACAACTCAGAAACAACATTCCCACAAGTGTTTTTTGAGACATCTACTATAAAAAAAGTCAGGCAACTAAAGTGACTAGAGAAACATAGGCATAGCAGTGAGAATTAAATGTACTTACTATAGAATTTAGTTATAACATCAAATGAGTTTTATAATAGTATGCAATAGTTACATGCTTTGACAAGAGTACAACTACTTTAAAACCTGAGGAGAAGGGACAAGCAAGTGGCATGGCAGTTAAGATGCTAGATCCCACATGGCTAACTATGGTTCAAGTCCTGGACCTGTCATCTTGAAAACTCATGCTGAGTGTGTGTATGTGTGTGCATGCCCAAAATCCCAGGAGGAAGAATGGAGAAGAAGGAATTGCAGCACAGCCACTCCCCCCCCAGGGGAGGTGTGTAGGGGGATGATTCCTCACATTCCCTTTCTGTTTCTTTCCAGCAAGTGAACATGCCCTATGGAAAAAACCTTACAAAAGAAAAAGGAGGAGAAATGGAAAAGAATATATTATTGGTATAGTACTGGTACTTTGTGTAGTAATGCGTGAGAAAGCCAGTAAGTAATTATGTTAAATTCTAGTTTTGTCATTCTCGGTGTCCTTAAAAATCAAAATTCATGGTATAGAATGAAAGGGGAACAAATATTACAAGTAGTTAAGTAAAACCCTTTAGTACTGGGACCAGCAGATGGCATAATGGTTACATTGTTGGACTACCATGGGCCTGAGTCGACTGTGGTTTGAATCCTAGACCTGGTGGCTTAAAATTCTCACCAGGCAGGTGTGCTACATGCTCAAAATCCTGAGCAGAGGGACCAGCAGTTAGTGTAGTGGCTATGTCGATGAACTCCCATGTAGTCAACTGCGGTTCAAGTCCCGGACCCAGTGGCTTAAACTCACGCCAGGCACATGTGCGTGCGTGCCCAAGATCCCGAGAGGAGAACAGAAGAGAAGGGATTGCGGCGTGGCCATCCCCCCTGGGGGGTGATTTCTCGCTTTCTATCTGTCTCTCTCTGTCTCTCTGGTGAGCACACACACCTTACAGCAAAAATCTCTCTTAAAAAACCCTTGAGTACTAAATTTTAAGTATCAGTATAAACTCGTAAGGTAATAAATATTTCCTATTCTGTCTATTATAAAGGCCTAGAAAGAATGACCAATCCTGGGACCAGCAGGTGGCATGATAGTTAAGATGCTGGACATACCCACATGGCTGATCATAGTTCAAGTCCCAGACCTGGTGGTTTGCTTTCTCACTTTCTCTCCTGTGTATCTCTCTCCGTCAAATTAAAAGTAAATGAACGAATATTTAATAAATAATTCTTTTAAAAAATGATCAATCCAGTTGCAACGAACATCCCTAGTACCCAGACTAAAATTTCATTTCCTACAAAAAGAAATCAAGGTTTCTTAGAGAAATGGTTTATTCCAAATCTGAGAAAGAAAATGTACAAATTGAGCCTAGGATATTTCCTCATGAGATAATTTGATGCTCAAGTCACTCTGGACTTTATCTCATTATGTTAATGCTTACGAATTCAACAGTCAAGGAATTGAAGCTCCACCTATGCACAACTAACCATTCCTTGATTCACATTCACCTATCCAACATTTTTCTTATGGCTTTCTTTGCAATCTCTGTTTCTCTCTAGTTTGCAAGCAGAAGCAAAGAACTGTAGGTTTAAAAAAATGGGCCTGACTGAAATGAATGCTGGTAAAATTTATGTCCTACTCCACAGCAATACACTGATTAGTTTATTTTAATTTACAAAGGATCTGAGAAGCCACATAAAAGGTCATATGCAAGGCTGGCTTCATGGCCTAGTGATTAAGGGAGCCAGATCCCATATGGCTAAAGATGGCTGGAGTCCTACCCTGAACAGCCTGAAAAACACATCAGGTGCACGTACATATGTGCCCAAATTCAGACTGTATGAAAAAATGCAGGACAAGGGATTGCATCGTGGCCACACCCCACTAGCAGGTATTTTCTCTTTTTCTGTATCTCTTTGGTGAATGTACATGCCCTTTGGCAATTAAAAAAAAAAAGTTATGTGCCTTGAAAATAACAGAGCCTGATTAAAACAAAAAACAACAAAAAACTATAAAAAAGGAACCCACTACATCCAAGACACTTTGAGTTAGTCTATCTTTTACTAGACTAACTAAAACATGTTAATTTTCAAAACGTCCAACGTTATGTACTATATAGTTGTGTGTCTATCTAGATATTTCACATGAGAAAGCTTTAGCCAATTTTGCCTGGAGAATTACAGAGTATATAAAAACAATGAGTAACTACTCACTCATATTTAAGGCAGCCATCCCTCCTTGCGGAGCTGCTGGGTAGACATTCGGTACATTCGTGGTCATAAAATCTGCAATTTGTTGTAATGCCAATAGTCCTGTGGGATTCTTCCCCTTCTTAAATTGTTCTTGTATCATTGATTCCAATTCTTCACAGAAAGCCTAATAAATGGCAACATTAAGACAGTGAGATACCATTTATTTTCAGTTTCTTGAGGGATGAGGTAGGAATAACTATCAACAGACCATTTTGTTTGTTTACTTCCAGTGCTGGAAAAGCAAATGGATATTCTCATATTTTACTATTAGGAATATAAACTGGTACATTCTTTTATGGAAAATAATTTAACAACATGAAATATTTAAAGTGTGACAGGAATTCTATTCCTAGGAATCTATTCTAAGAAAAAAATCAGCAATGTGCTCAAAGATTTATTCATAAGGATGTTCATTCTAGTATTACTGATGTTGATAAAATGGAAAAACAGCCTACATTTCAAACGTAGAGGAATTACTAAATACACTAGGAATTCTTTTTTTTTTTTTTTGGAGAGGTTTTTGCTATAGGGCACATGCACTCGCCAGACAGAGAGAGAGAGATATAGAGACAGAAAGCGAGAAATCACCCCCCAGGGGGGATGGTCACACCGCAATCCCTTCTCCATTCTCCTCTCAGGATCTTGGGCATGCACGCACATGCGCCCGGAATGAGTTTTAAGCCACCGGGTCCGGGACGCGAACCGCGGTCCACTACATGGGAGTCCAGTGACATAGCCATTACGCTAACTGCTGGTTCCCAATACATTAGGAATTTTATGCCCACATTCAACATGAAAAGGTAAACAAATTTAAATTACTCTTGATGTATTTTTAAATGATAATAATTATAAAGCAATAAAACCAGTTTTTGTAAGGGTAAATATATATCAAACAGGTAAAGACTAGTAATAAATTACACTGAAATGCTCACTGAAATTCTCTTAGTTATAGAACTTTCATATTCTACTTTGTGCTTTTCAGCATTTCCTTCAAAATACTTTTTGCTTAAAATAGTAAGTCTATTTATTTGTTTCTTCTTGAGAAAGAAGCAAGGGACCCCCAAGATGGTCCTCAAGCCTCTATCCACTCCCAATCTCATTCTCCTCAGATCATAGGCACTTGCTGGTATGCCTAGTGTGTACAGGGAGGCCCCAGGATGTGGACCAAGACTTCAGCATCACCTAGCATTATGTTACTGTTGGACCCTCAAAATACTTTTGAAATTACTTTTTTAAAGCGGAAAAGAACTCTAAAACATTCATCCTTTATCAAATAATCTTTTTAATTTTTTTAAGTCTTAGAGCAGGTAAATTTTTAAAAATTTTTTCATTCACTTACGTTAATTTGACCAGAGAGAGACATAGTGAGAGAGAAAGCAAGAAAGGAAGCCATCAGATACAAGACTCAAACCATGGGGTTGGCCATGTGGGAGTGCCCAGCACCTTAACCACCATGCTACCTGATGGTTCCCAAAGAATTATTTATTTAAATTGATTTATTATTATTTTTTTCATTTTCTGTAGGGCATGTATGCTCACCAGGGAGAGACAGAGAGCAAGAGAGAGAAAGTGAGAAAGCAAGTCACCAGGTCCAGGACTTGAACTGTGGTTGGCTATCTGGGAGTCCAGCACCTTAACCACTCACTACACCACCTGCAAGCCCCCCTTTATCAAATCATCTTAAATCAGGCAAAAAAAGTCCAACTGGATTGATGGTGATTTTAACAACAAAGCATTACTGCAATAATAATTTATAATTTCTCCAAACTGTGCTAAAATATTTTTCATATATCCTATAAAGAAATAAATATATTGTCAAATAATTATAAATTATATCAAATGTGAAAATGTAAGTTCACTAGATCTGATTCCTATCAGACTGTAAGTACTCTAGGACTCTGGATAACTCCATATTAAACTCATTTCTCTTTCCTACTCATGCTGCACAAAGTGGCTGGAGTTGTGTTATAAAGCCATGATCACTGATCTCAAAGGCACCCTTCACCATTAACCTAGCAACCCAACTTTCATTGCCCATTCCCTCTCCTACTCTTCATTCTTTCTCTCTCCTCCAACCTCCTATGCTACTCCCTGTGCCCATTCTCGGTGAATAACTCCATTTGCTATTTCACTGAGAACAAAGAATCCATCAGAAGACAACTTTCACAAGTTCCCTGTCAAATAAACACAACTATCAGCATCTGTACCTACAGTTCTGCCTTCCCTCTCCTTACTGGGGTTGAACTGTCCATGCTCCTATCTAAAACCAACTCCTCCACTTGTACATTGGGTCCTACCCGCTCCTGTCTACTCGAGGACTTGATGACAATTCTACCCTCTACTGTGCCATCAGCTTTTCTCTCCCTACTGACCACTTCCATAAGCATGCAAATACACTATCGTTTTGTTCATCTTACAAGAAAAATGATCTTTTCAATATTACATCCCCTTCTAGCTACTGCCTCATTTCTGTGCTCCCTTTATAGAAAAAGACAAACAAAAACTGTCTATCTTTGCTGTCCCTGATTCCTCTCATCACAATTTCTTTTGAATCCACTAAATCTGCCTCTTACTCCCATTTTCCCTGCTCATGAAGTTCACCAAAGATCTGCATAATACTAAATCCAACAGTTTTCACTTCCCAGGTCTATCAGTAGAACTTGTCACACTGGCCTCTGCCTCCTCTGAACAGACTTTCTCTACTTGGCTTCTCCTGATTTTTTTTCCCTATGTCCTGGCTATTCCTTCTTAGTCACTTTTGTTAGTTCTTTCCAATTCCCCAAAATTTAAATGGTTGACTGTCCAGAGCACAGTACCCACTCTTCTCTGTTGGCACTCATTCCGTTGTGAACTCTCCTATACTTATCAATATGCTGAGAATGTCCAACTTGAGATATTTGCCTAGATCTCTCCCTGAATTCCAGACTTATAAATACGATTCCTATAAAACATCTCTACTAGATCACTAAAATAATAATGACTAAGTTTCCCTCCACCAAATTGTTCCTCCCCAGGTCTTCCACATTTAACTCCATGTTTCCAGTTGCTCAAGTCTAAAATCCTACAGTTTTCTCTGACAACTCTCTCTACACTATCACATCCAAAAGTAAAAAGTATTGGAGTTAATACTTACATGGTATTCCAGGTGCTTTTTTAAGAGTTTTGTTTTTTGTTTTGTTGTTTGTTTGTTTGGAGAGGTTTTTGTTATAGGGCGTGTGCGCTCGCCAGAAAGACAGAGAGAGACAGAGAGACAGAAAGTGAGAAATCACCCCCCAGGGGGATGGCCACGCCACAATCCCTTCTCCTCCATTCTCTTCTCGGGATCTTGGGCATGCACGTACACGTGCCCGGAGTGAGTTTAAGCCACCAGGTCCGGGACTCAAACCGTGGTTTGACTACATGGGAATCCAACCACATAGCCATTACGCTAACTGCAGGTCCCTTTTTTAAGAGTTTTATGTATAGTCATTCACTTGATCCTCAAAACAACCATTAGAGGTAGGTAATACTACTATTGTCCCTATTTTATAGATAGGCAAATTGAAAAAATGGAGAAGTTTGGAAACTTGACCAAAGTCACAGACCTATTTTTTGTTTGTTTGTTTATTTTGGAGAGGTTTTCTTTTTTTCCCCCCCGCTATAGGGCACGTGCGCTCGTCAGACAGACAGAAAGAGACATAGAGACAGAAAGCGAGAAATCAGCGAGAGTCCAGCGACATAGCCATTACGCTCACACCAGGTTCCCTGTCACAGACCTATTTTATACAGAGGCCAAAACTTTAACCTAGACAGTCTGGCTCTAGGCACTAAAAACTATGACATTCTTTCTCCTAATCAACAATCTGGATGATAGAAAATTTTAACTGTACTTTAAAATGTTTTGTCTGTTGAATGCTTTATTGCTAGTAAACTAAGTGATTTGGTTCTGCTAAAATGAAGTGCAAGGGTGAAAACATTGAGAGAGAATAATATAGAAGTGAACAACATATATTTTTTTGATATATCCCATTCTGTTGCCAATTTTCTTTGTTAAAAGTGATGTTCAAAATTAACTTGGGGGCCAGTCTAGTGGCACCGAGGTATCCAATGCTCCACATTGCCAGATCCGTATGGAAGGGTCTAGGTTCAAAACCCATGGTCTCCCTGTGCATGCTGGGACATGTGCCCATGATCTAGGCTGGCTGGGGATAGATGGTATCATAAAGATCCCATTGGAGGGCCAAGAGGTAGCATGGAGGTTAAGGCAATGGATCACACAGGACTGACTTTGCTGTTCAAGTTCTGGACTTGGCAGCTTGAAAAATCACACCAGGGAGCCAGCAAGTCGTGTGGTTGTTCAAGTGCTGGCCTCCCACATAGCCAACTGCAGTTCAAGTCCCAGACCTGGTGGCTTTAAAATCATGTTGAATGCATGTGAAAGCATGACCAAAAATCCCAGGAGAATGGAGCAGAAGGTATTGTATCGTAGCCACCCCCACCCCTGAAGGGTGATTTGTCACTTTCCCTCTCACTGTCTGTCTCTCCCACTAGTGCATAAAGTCTATAGCAAAAACCTAAAAAAAAAAAAAAAAAAAAAAACAGTGATTAACATTTGTTATAATAGCTATGTCGATAGACTCCCATGTAGTCAACCACGTTTCAAGTCCTGGACCCGGTGGCTTAAACTCACACTGGGCGTGTGTGCGTGTGTGCCTAAGACTCTGAGAGGAGAATGCACCGCGGCCATCCCCCCAGGGGGTGATTTCTTGCTTTCTGTCTCTCTGTCTCTGTCTGGTGAGCGCAAGTGCCCTATAGCAAGAAAACTCTCCAAAAGAAAGAAAAGAAATGAAAATATAAATCACACCAGGAGTACATGCAAGCATGCCTAAAATCCCAGGAAGAGCCTGGAGAAGAAGGGACTGCAACATCGTCATCACCCTGGGGGATGATTTCTCACTTTCCCTCTCTCTCCAGCAAGCACATGTGCCCTATGGAAAAAAATCTGAAACTAAAATAAATAAATAAATAATCCCATTGAAGAGGGCCAGTTCTGTGCCTGATGGTTAAAGTAGCCAGATACTACATGGCTGAAAACGCAGTTCACTCCTGGACCCAGCAGCTTGAATGACATTCTGGTATATGTGC